TCCCGCAGCCCCGAGCACAGCAGGAGCGCTGGGCTGCTGTTGTCGCACCGCCCGTGCCGAAACACGGTATGCATGCTGACACGCACCTCTCTGATGCCTAATGCATCCTCCCTGTCTGCCGTTTGCTGCTGTTTGCCGTGACTGCTGGCCAGAGAGCAGCTCATTATTCAGGCTCAGCTTGTTTCCGGTCAATTTTGACACTAGACCGAAGTGCTTTTAACTCTTTGTCGCTGGGAGGTTCCCCTTTTGTACGCAGCTCTTTGAAGGAGGATAACGAAAGGAGCCTCGTATGCGCCAGAAGGTTCTCAGTGTTATGACAACAGGCCACGGCGTGGCTCCTGGTGTAGTTTTACAACCAGCGACGAGCTCAGTACCTCTGGCTTGCGAAGCTGTTTCATGGGGTATCGACAGGCAGACCTGATCCTCCTGGCCCTCTTCCCCCAGAAAAATGCAAGGGCTTTCTTTATTTCACTTATTGATACACCTGGTTTTCTACCAGTGTATGAAGACTTTGAACTGTTCTGGAGTAAAAAACCCAGTGACGAGTCTGTTTCCTCCCCCCTCCCCTTATCAGCAGGGGAGAAAAAAGTGTCGTTATAGGTAAGACAACTTAGTGAAACAACTGAATAGATGGAGGGTTCAAGCTAATAAAAACTAATTCTAAACAGGCCAGGGACAGAATAAGACAAGGAAAGTGATGTGGGACCTCACTCCCCTAGAAACCTGGGAGACCTGCAGCCCTAATCTGCTGCTGCATGAGCAAAGGAACAGGAAAAAAAGATGAGAAAACAAAGACTTTGGGGTTTATGTTCACTTACATTGTTTCAGAGCTGGGCTTGATGTTTCTGGGAGGCAGGCTGGGAGCTGCTGCGGACTGCAGGCATGGGTGAGAGGCTGGTGGAGGAGGTGGCAACTGCGTAGCAGAGTGTGGTGGAGGTACAGGTGGGGAGAGTGCTCCTGAGGAAGGTGCTATCTGTTTCAAACCTTCATCTTTAGAGTCTGAAAAAAAAAAAACAAAACAGAACAGACTGAATTTATCAAGCAAACAGCTGAGGATGGAACCTAACTGTTTACATGAAGTATTAGGATATAATTATCAGTACTGCACACACCCTAGAGCAAATTTATTTCGTCGAACCTGCTTCTTAGATGTATTTGGTGCCTTATCTTACCAGAGTAGAGAGGCTTTGCCCCAAAAAACCTTACTGCCTATAGAAGGCCTTGAAAATGTCTTTGCCAAGATATGAACAGGATACAAAAATATCTGTTCATTCAGTATATAAGCTCTTGTGCTTTAAAACTAAATTATAATTTAATTCTACTATTTGCTTGGAAAGACCAGCTACGGAGTTTCACATGTGCACTGATGCAGTCTTGCTGGAGATTTCCTTGCTCAAAGGCAGAGTTTCAGGGAACGGATGAGAGATGAAAAGATATTTTGGCATTGATTAAGAGGTGTACAGGTCTCTGTATATGTACAAATATGTTTGTAACATTAGTTGTGAAAGGCTGGACTTAATTTTCTAGCAAGCCCATGCTAGAAAATTGGCAGTTTGGGAAGCTGCACGGAAGCTACACCCTCGACAAACAGGTGCAGCCTTAAAACCAAGATGATGCCGTGCACCAGGCACAGAAGCCGTAATTATGTGAGTGGGCTGGTGTGCATGTGTGCTGCACTGAATTCATGCTCTGTGTACAAGCCACAACCAAACCATAGTAACCATTGCTTTGAGAGTTCTCGTTGAGAGAAGTTATTCAACACAACCAAATGAAATCACTCTTTGGATGGCTTGATGTTAAACCTAGAATTCTGTTTCAAGTATCATGAGTGGATTAAAAGCTCAGAAAGAATTGTCCCCAGCTGTATGGAGGCAAGTCCACCAAAATCTAAAAAGGCAAAAGCAAATTCACAGTTCAGTTAAAACTAATCACAATCAAAAAACCCCCCTTGTCTTCTGGAGATTTTCTTCAAGTTCACACCTGTATAGTGGAGATTAAAATCTTGTCAAGAAAAAGAAACTTTCACCACATTGGAAAAAAGTGGCTTAAACATAGAACGACAACGAATATTTAGTAATGCTTAAGCTCAAGACTGAAAATTACACAAACTACTGAAAGCTTTCTTTAGCTGCTTGGGAGTCTGACATCCTTGGGATAGACAGGAGAAGGGGAATAGATAACAATTAGAAGGACCTCTCATGTGTCACATGGAGATCAAAGTGAAATTACCAAGCCTTTGCAGTTTTTGTGCTTACTAACAAAGAACTCAAAAATTTCTGGATAAACTGGGCTTCACAGCTGCTTGGAGGAACTTGTCAATATATGTGTCAATAACAGCGCATTTGAAACCTGTTAAGTTCCTCCATTACTTAAAAAGCAAAGTACTAAAAGACCCAACACTGTTGATTACACAGGTGAATTTTTTTGGTGTTTTTGTTAAGGAACATTCATCTTGCAAAAGCAGACCCTTATAATTTAAGATATGCCAAGATGAAAGTTGTATGGTATCATATATCTTTTTTATTCACATATCTTTTTATCATCTTATTTAAAAGTATAGGCCAAAAGTCAAATTAAATAATCCTTTCACTTAGTACTGAAGAGGCTACAGCAGGCTTAATGTGTGCCAGCTGGAAAGAGCCCAAAGGAGAAGAGTGAGAATGATGAGAGGTCTAGAAAATGTGAATTCCTGGAGATACTGAACAAATGGTGGTTGTTTAAGGAAATGTGATAAGACTGAGGGAGAAAAAAATGAATACCTAAGTCTCTGGCAAAGAAGAAAGGGATAATTTTTTTTTTTTTCTTCATTTCTGTAGTGGAGAAGGCAAGAAGTAATGTCTTTAAAGGTCAGCAATATTTGTTAGGAGGCACTTTCTAATAGTGAAGGTGGAATTTCCATGGCTTGAGGTCCATGTTGAAGAAATAGGATAAACTTATGGCATAAATAAGTTCTAGTACAATTGTTCTTACCCTACACATGGGAATGGACCAAACTTCTTTATGTCCCTTCCATTTCAATGATGACATCCTCTGTTTGTTGTCCTGTATTTTACAAGGCATCACATTTAAAATACTTGCCCCTATATAGAGCCCCACAGCTAGAGATCTACTAAAATATCATTTTGGCTAAAACTTGTCTTCCAGCAAGATGTCCCATTTGTTTGACGACAAGAGAAAGAATGTACCACTACAGACTTTGGTTAACTTCTCTCACTGTTAACACCTGCATTTTACTTTTTTCTAAGTTCATCAGGCTTCAGGTTCTATTACTTTTATTTCTACCTTTGCTTACTAAAGCAAAACCTTTTTATAACTACTGTTTTCTACCCATAAGGTGTTGATACCACTGAACTTAACCATTATCTCAGATTTCTTTTTGATAACTTTAAAGACACAACCTTTTAAATCTCATCTCAAGGCATTTTTTTTCCATCTAGCAATTAATTTGTAGCTATTTCTGTAATCTCTCCAACTTTTCCAGCATTGTAAAAAATCTGGCACTGGAAGTCTACACAGCATGCACTTGTCTGCCATGTGCAGTAATAAAAATTACAGGTCATTCTTCATCTGGCCGTATCTCTACTGGTTGCATCCAGGGGGTTTCAATATTTTCTCCAATTGTCATCCCTCCTCCTGTTTTGGAAGCGCAGACACCTGAATTTCAATCTAAGGCCCATTAGCAAAAAGCCTTTATTCATAAACTGTAACTATGTGAAAGTTCCTTAAGGGTAAAACTCCAAGAATTTAGGGTTACAGATTGACAACAATAATGCATTAGACTTTTCTGTCACACCATTATCCTTACTCAACTGTAGAGTATTTTATGATACCTAGATTTTTTCCCAAGGCATTACACTACCTCATTTTGCTGGGGTTTACATTTCTTCACTCTACATGTATATTTGCATTTGAGTAAAGACAAACTTCGTTTAAATGAGCCAAGATTACATATGATTGTGCTTTTGTTGTATCTGAATCTCTGAGGACTATGTGTTTGCATCAAACTCTTGACAGTCTATTCATCTACAGACTTTATCAGCTATAATCTCTTATTGTTCTAAAATCCCTGATAAAGTTGAATAGCATTGACAATCTAAGCATGTATCTGTAGTTGAATTCTTTTAAGCAGATTCTAATCAAAGAAAGAAGCCAGAAAGGTTTTTTTCATAAAAGCCATGTTAATTGGTATTAATTATACTCGCAAATTTTTGTGTTTTAACAGGGAATCCTATATCAGTTTTTCTGTGGTTGTATTTATGTTGCCCTAATACAGTGTAGTGTATATGCATAACATCCATACATGCATTATGTCATCACACAGCCTTACTTCATTGTGATTAGTTTGTGGGACTAAGATAAAAATTCTGCCCAAGTCTCTGTGCATAATACTTCTTTCACCTAATGTCTCTTGAGAGCCAAATCCAGGCAGTAGGAAACTGAGCCAGGAAAGGACACCACGTGAATTTTAGATTAAGTGCTTATTTTTAAGTATAAGGGCTAAACAACCCTTTTACTTTACGAAGATTGCTAGAATCTAACAATAACTAAATGATCATCATATTAATGGAAACACTGCTTTTTTATTTTCTGACTCTTAGAACTGACCCTTTCCTGCCTTTAAAGTTGTAATTACCTACACTTATGACCGAGACTGATGTGGGTGTAGAATGCTTTAATTCTAATACTGAAAACAATGGGATGAGTGAGTTAGGAAGGTGATACTCAGTATGAAAAAGCTGTTATAATCAGGCCTCCAGAGCCAAAGCTATCATATGTTTCAGTAGTGGTTTGTTTCCTATTTTAACAGAGTATTTCATTTTGACTCCAGTTCCTTCTTCTTGTGTCTCTGAGACACGGTACTCTGAGGACATGGAACGGCTCTGTGTGGGTAGTGGAGCTGAAGTCAGCTCCAGACAATCAGAACAAGAGATCAAACTGAAACTATATCCTGGCTTCACAGGCACCCAAAGCATTCTCATCACAGGAAACAGTGTTAAGGACCATCACTGTGTGGTAGCTTTGACCACTGACACCAAATACCCTCTTCTCTTTTCTTGGGATTCTCAGCTTTTTCACATGCTATGCTGCACTGAAGAAACAGATGCAGAAACTGAAGCTCTTCGCAAAGAAATGGAAGAACAGGTGAAAAGGAAGAGTTCCTCAAAACCTGTGCAGCTGCATAGCGGCTAAGAGAAACTTGTCATAGAAACTGTCCATAGAAAGTACCAAATACGCCATTACGCTGCTGCTTGTGGTATTAAACTTCTTTAATCACGCCCAGAGATACAGCAGAACTGCACACAGAACACTGCAAACACTTCTCTTGTGTTCTTAGGGAACCTTCTCAAACTTCCATACGTGCAGCAACCAAAAGGTTGCCTACATTCTTGGAGAATGTTTATTTATCAGGAAGTTCAGGACACCAAAGTTGTCTTGATGTAAAACTTGTGACTTTGACTCTTGCCATTCCTGGCTTGTGAAAGGGAAATTCTGATACCTCTTTGGTAGCTAACATAACAACTAGAGAAAGATCGCATCTTCCCTCCATGTCAGATATTCTATGTTCAACAACCTCAGGAGAAATCAGCCTGCATATAACAGTACTTTATAATTTCCATGGCTCTCCTGTGTGAACTCAAAGAGAAACTAGTAAAAACCAAAAATAAGTCCAGGTTTTTGGAACATGTTTACTCTATGTAGTCAAAAGCAAGTTTCAGGGGAGGATGAAAAAAAATATATCCGTTCTCACCTTGCTAAAATCTTCAGTGCTGTCCTGAGATGCTGTATTACTCTGTTCTGAGACGCTAATGCCAGAAATATGTGGCAAACTGAAGCGAAAGCCCAGGAGTGCTTGGCGTCCTTATTGGAGTAACACATGCAACAAGCAATACTTGGTGGGATAGGAATCTTACGGGAACCAGTATGTTGGCCAGGCCCAGTTCTCCCTAGCCCTTTTCAAAACTGTAAAAGAAATTGGACTCATGTGCAAGGGTGATATG